TTTCGGGCATTGCTGGCAGGGACATGCCTGCAACCGCAGCACGTCACTGGGAAGGCACATGAAGGGGACCCACGTGCAGGGGAAGCACAGCCAGCTACCCCTCCAGCACAGGGTGCAGCAGGGTGCCGCATGCCCTGTTTGCAAGGCGCACACCCCTCCCTCTCAAACTAAAGCCAAATCAACCCAGTTTTTCTCTCCATGCGTGAACATTGCTGGCAGGGACATGCCTGCAACCGCAGCACGTCACTGGGAAGGCACATGAAGGGGACCCACGTGCAGGGGAAGCACAGCCAGCTACCCCTCCAGCACAGGGTGCAGCAGGGTGCCGCATGCCCTGTTTGCAAGGCGCACACCCCTCCCTCTCAAACTAAAGCCAAATCAACCCAGTTTTTCTCTCCATGCGTGAAACAAGAGGAGGACGAGCACTCACCATCCCCTTTGCAGGGGAAAGGAGGCGAGTGGCCCCCTCCCCAGCTATGCCATGCTACCGCTCGCCCCAGCGCCACTCGCACAAGGATGAGGTCGGAGATTGGGTCACGCACAAACTGCAAGAAGCAGTTTCACAGAGCCTGTTTCATCCCACCCTTGTGATGTCTCGGCCACCCTGCTCACAGGCTGGGCTCACCACAGAGCTGCGGGGCACCCCTCACCTTCCTGGAGGGACTTGAAAAAAACCTGCCAGTCCCCATCCCCACCAGTTGTCCCCAGGCAAACACCACTTCTGACGGTCCTGGGGATGTGACCCAGACCCGCGGCAGAGCTGGCACCCGAGGCACCTGAATCGTCCCCGCTGCCTGAGCAGCAGCACCGCTTGCTGGACAAAGGAGAGTTCACAGCAGCACCCTACCCTGCACCGCTGCGCAGAGGAGCCAGGAAACACATCATTACTATAAGTTTAAACCAGCATGACAGCTGTCACCCAGCCCTTTTTGCACCTCTGGGCTGCAGTCAAACCCGTGCTTGCTGTCTTTCACCCCAGCGATGGGCTTGTGCACCAGCATTTTTGTACCCATGACCCTGATAGGCATCATCATCGTCACAGCATCCCCAACTCCTCATGCAGCTAATGCAAGGGGTCCAAAAAGTAAGGGGCAAATCACAGCTGAGGTATCCACTGTGAAGTGGGTACCAGTGGGATGGAGGAGGAAGGGTCAGGAAGGAGGCTCGTTCCCAGGGCAGCAGGGTGGGGAAGCTTCACGTCTCAGAGCTGATCTCATACAGAAGTAGAAAAAGCTTACACAGGGTGGAAATTAAAACATAAATTCCACTAAAACCAGAGCTGTTCAGCTCCCAGCTTTTGTAGCAGTGGAAAGAGTCTACAAATTAAGTGCAGTTTTGCTATAAATAGTAAAAAACTATTTCATTTTTTTACTGGTTCTTGAATTTGGTATTGCAATGCCCAGCAACGACACCGCTGACCCCTTGGAGTCTGTCCCCTGCAGAGCCACAACTCCATGCTGCAAAACTGTGCAGCTACGCAACAGCCCATGGCTTCCTCCGTCCGCATCGATACCCATGCTGTACAGCTCATCACATGCATGTGAACAAGTAAGAAGGGCCTGGAAGGGATTTTAAACAAATAATGTGTTGTTTACTTGCTTGCTGGTAGGGGAAGAAAATAAAAAAAAGGCACACTGAGTAAAAGAGGCTTTACCCATGATCTACCAGCCCACGCTAACCCCTTTTCCCTCGCTCACCTGTGTCTCTGCTGCAGGGGACCTGGTGCCAGAGGCCACCGTGCCCTGGGGCATCTCCTTCCCAGTGCCTCAGGAAGAGCAGAACAACCCTTGCTCACATTGCAGTAGGTGATGGCCGTAATATAGCAAAGCCCCAGGCTCAGCTCGTTGGGGTCATCAGCCAGCTTTTTCACCCCACTGCTGGGTCACCTAGGGGCAAGGGTGGCCCTTGGGGTGCCTGGAAATAGGGGGGTGGGAACACCCCTCAGCCTCTGCTTTCCCCCTCACCCCAGTACGCTGTAGCTCCCCGTGCAAGCAGCCTGCTCTTTGCTCCCCACTTGCTCCAGTCCAACCCCAAATCGCAGCACTCGACTTCCCTGGGAGAGAAAAACAGCAACACCTCAAACCGCACCACTGTGGAGTTTGACGGTTTTAATGGTAATTAAAGAAATCAACAGGGTACATTTCAGCTTTGAAATACAAGTGCAAAAAGGATACAATATAATGTTTTCTGTACATTTCTTACAAAATATTACATACATCCCATCCTGAAGTGGTACTTCACACACCGCTGAGCCCATGCACCGCATGTGCGCACCAGCTGTAGCTTTAACTCCTTATGTGCAGGATGTGGAGCTAACGGAAAGCTCCCACTGGAGTCTAGGCAGACGCTTTTAGGACAGTGGTAGGTAAATACAAAGGGTGAATGCAGGGACCTTTCTGCCCAGCATGCCCAGGCGCAGCTCCCAGAGTGCTGAGCCACCACTGTGCCCTTGTGGCAAGCGGGCAGCATCGCCCTGCTGGCACTCACAGCTCTCGGCTGCTCACCAGTTTGGTATAGGAAATGGCTTTTCTCGCTGTGGTTTGGCATTTTCCCTGTGTCTGGCATCTCCTCCCACTTTGCGCCCCGTATAGTGTGCCCAGGTCGAGCCCTGGTGAACCTGCCTCCATTTTATCCACAGCATCTTCTCAGGAAGAAGTCAACCAGGCTATATAGCAAATAAATTAAACGCCGCCTCCCCCGTACTCCCCAGCACTGAGGCTGTGGGGCACACGTCAGTACCCGTCCTGGCAGTCGTTATCATCATAGTCGGCAGCAGGCTTGTTGCGGTAGGCACCCGGCCGCCGTTTGCGACTCCCGCTCTCCAGGCTCTGCAGCGAGCTGTTGTCCCCGCGGCTGCTGGACTCACGGGTGGCGTCCTCCTGGGAGTGGCTCTCCTCATCGTCATCATCATCATCCTCCTGGGACTCGCTGTTGTTGCTCTCTGTGAACCTGCTGTCCTCGCCTGCATTGTCCTCTTGGCTGCTATCATCCTCCGGGGATGTACTCTGGCTCTCAGCTGATGTGCTCAGCACATCCCCATCAGGGTCGGAGTCATTCTCATCCTCCTTTGACTCCTCCACAGTGTCCTCTGTGGACTGGCTCTGGTCACCATCATCTTCCCCAGACTTGCTGTGGTCGCCCTCATCTTCCCCGGACTCGCTGTCAGGCGTGGACGGCGCACTCCTGTCCTCAGCAGACTCCGGGTCCTCCTGCCCTTCCCGGGACCTGCTACTACTGCGTTCGCTCGACGTGCTCGCCATCTCCTGGGAGATGTCCTCCGCGGACTCCCCCGGTTCTTCGTCAGACTGGTCAGCCATGCCCTCCCTGGACTTGCTGCCCTCGCCCTCCCTGGAAGGGCTGTCCTCCCCATCCCCATCCTCCCCAGAGCGGCTGGCACTGTT